ATATATATATAAAGGAAGGTTGCATGCGTAAGGTGAACAAACAATATTAGCCTTTCCAAAAATTCAGAACATGACGAAGAAGGATCCTGCCCATCCAGTTTTCTTGGTCACATTTAGTGGCTTAATTCTTTCTTCATGGCCGTGGGTGTTCTTGGCCATGGCACAAAACGACACGATTCCAGTGAAAGTTGGTGTCGTTCTTGACGTTGAAACTCCAGTTGCAAAGATTTGGTTAAGTTGCCTCAACATGGGGATCTCGGATTTTTATGCATCTCATCCTCAATTCAACACTAGATTGATTCTCAACACCAGGAACTCCGAGCGTGATGTCATCGGTGCAGCTAGCGCAGGTCATTAATTTACTCTCTCTCTCTCTCCATATATAGTTATATACATTTATATATATCTATATATCTATATATGTGTGAACATCTTCATTAATTTCGGTCTTTAGTTATGATCAAACCCTGCATTGATTACTTTCAATGCACCATAACTACACAGAAATCAAGACCGAAGAAGAATGTAGTTAAGCTTAAATATTCACGGTGATGAATTGATCATGATGATCAGGGAGGCGCTTTTTTCTTCATTTCCGTTATATTTTTTCCTCTGAATTTATGAGAAAGTGCATCATCAACATTGCCGTACGATTTCTGATTTTTTTCACATTAAACACTTTTGACTATAAGCTACGTACGCAAAATTCATCATACATAAGAAAATAGCTAAACTGAATGACATTTGAAATGATGATTGAAAATACCCTGCACCAAACAAAAATTAAGAACAAAATTCATAGTACCTCTTTTTTTCTTTCCTAATTTATTATTTTTTTTATTAAAAAAAAAAAATTACTCCCAGCATCCGATCACCAATAATGTTTGTCTCCAACCATGACCCTTATCCTTTTACGCGCATTCATCAATACAAATTATGTACGTATTTATATTACACATTAAACACTTTTGTTTTTTGTTTTTTTTTTTAATGAAAATTACATAATTGTACAGCCCTGGACCTGCTAAAGAACGTGCAAGTGCAAGCGATTCTAGGGCCACAAAAATCGAGTCAGGCCAAATTCATAATTAACTTGGGACAAAATGCGCACGTGCCCATTTTGTCATTCTCCGCAACAAGCCCTTCCCTGACTTCCTCCGGTCCTCGGAATCCCTACTTCTTCAGAACCGCAACAAACGACGCCTCCCAAGTCAGACCCATAAGCTCCCTCGTCAAAGCCTTTGGCTGGCGAGAAGTGGTCCCCATCTACGCCGACACCGACTACGGAAACGGAATCATTCCTTACTTGGTCGATTCACTCCCAGAGGTCGACGCGCGAGTCCCATACCGGAGCGTGATTCCGCCGTCGGCCTCCGACGACCAAATCGTTTCCGAGCTTCGCAAGCTGATGACGATGCAAACTCGAGTGTTCGTTGTGCACATGTGGAATGATCTGGGCTCGCGGTTGTTCACCAAGGCCCACGAGATTGGGATGATGGGCCTACCGGGCGTTGTTTGGATCATAACCCAAGATTTCACTGACCTGTTGAACTCATTGTCTCCTAAAGTCGTTAAGTCAATGCAAGGAGTGTTGGGGGTCAAGACTTATGAACCAGAATCAGAAGAGCTTGAAGATTTTAGAATTCGTTGGAAAATGAAATTCCAAAGAGAGAATCCGACAATTATCGATGCTCAGTTGAATGTTATGGGCTTATGGGCTTATGATTCGGCTTTTGCATTAGCCTTGGCGGTTGAGAAGGTACTAAAAAATGGGAATGAAAGTGAAAATGGGAAAAGCTTAGTTTCGTATGAGAAGAGAGTAAATGCGTCACCAGCCAAGTACTCTACTGATCTTGATTCTTTTGGGGTCTCCAAAATTGGTCCAAAACTATGTGAAGCCTTATCGAGCACCAAATTCCGAGGCCTGGCCGGAGATTTCAGCCTTGTTGATGGGCAATTACAATCATCAACTTTTCAAATAGTGAACGTGAATGGCAATGGAGGAAGAGAAATCGGCTTTTGGACGCCGCAAAATGGGCTAACAAGGAATTTGTCGTTGAATAGTTCGGGTAATTATGGATATTCGACGTCGAGGTCGAATCTCGGACCGATCATATGGCCCGGAGAGTCTACTGTGGTACCCAAGGGGTGGGATATTCCGGCGAATTATGAGAAGAGGTTGAGAATAGGAGTGCCGGTGAAGGATGGTTTTAAGGAGTTTGTTGATGTGAAGACTGATCCTAGCACTAACGTGACGGAAGTTACGGGGTTCAGTATAGATGTTTTTATGGCTGCCGTGGAGAAGTTACCGTACTCTCTTCCTTACGACTTCATTCCTTTTGCAAACCCTAATGGTTCCTGCGCTGGAACTTACGATGAAATGATCTCCGAAGTTTTTTATGGGGTAAGAATATAAAACTTCTACTCAATATTATATATACATATATATATATATATATGTTCTAATGATATATATCAGAGTGCAAAATATCCTTATATTGAATGTATATATACTTTTGATATGATTTTCATATGCTCCCCTCGTATATTTAGTGTTCTATAATTTACATATAACGCTTCTACTAAATATTATATATACATACATATATATATGTTTTAATTATATATATCAGAGTGCAAAATATCCTTATATTGAATGTATATATACTTTTGATATGATTTTCATATGCTCCTACGTATATTTAGTGTTCTATAATTTACATATAACGTATCATCCCGTTATGTTATAATAGGGAGATTTTATGGTATGTTAAAAAAAAAATACAATACACAGTGTATTACAAGTAATATTATTAGTGAGTTTGATCATATGAGTTTAATATAATCCAACTCTTATAAAAGTGCGAGTGCTCTTATTCTACATATATCAATATTTATTGTATGGTTACAATCTTTTTTCTTTTAAAGAGAAATAAGATAATAGCTAGTGAATGTCTATTAATTAGATTTCTAGTGTTTGATAATAATGTCGTACATTCGGAAACATTATCAGTAAACGTTCCATATCATAGAGAGTGAGGTCTTAGAATTTATTGCTAAAATATAGATGGTCATATTTTTTACTTGGACAGAACTACGATGCTGTAGTAGCAGACGCCACAATTCGGGGGAACAGGTCCTTGTATGTCGACTTCACCTTGCCATACACGGAATCTGGCGTGGTAATGGTGGTGCCATTAAAAGAAAACGACAGAAAAAGTGCTTGGGTGTTCTTGGAGCCTTTGACATGGGATCTATGGGTGACCAGCACTTGTTTCTTTGTCTTCATTGGTTTTGTAGTTTGGGTTCTTGAACACCGAATAAATGAAGATTTTCGTGGGCCCCCCTCACATCAAGTTGGCACCAGCTTCTGGTTCTCCTTCTCAACCATGGTTTTTGCACACAGTAATTACTCGCGACTTCAAGCCTCAAATATTAGATAGTACTAGCTAGCTCTTCTATTTCATGCGCACAGAACTCAGTATATCTTATGAAATATGCTTAGGACACCGCTGGAGTCGAACACCACAATTAAGAGAGAATGAGTTCCACTTGTGGGTCTCATAGAATCCATTCTCTATTAATATATGGTGTTGGACACCACTGGTATCTGTTTCTTTGTTGTCATGTTGATTTTTTCTTTCTCTTGGTCCGATTTTAATTTGCAGGGGAAAGAGTGATCAGCAACTCGGCGAGATTTGTGGTTATCATATGGGTCTTTGTGGTGCTAATTTTGACCCAGAGTTACACGGCTAGTCTATCGTCACTTTTAACAGTGGAAACACTTCAACCGACCGTCACAGATATAGACCAACTCCTAAAGAATGGGGACAAGGTAGGGTATTATAAAAACTCTTACGTTTATGAGCTCTTAAAACAACAAGGCTTTCCAGATTCCAACATCAAGGCCTATAAATCTGTGGAAGATTGTGAAGACCTTCTGTCCAAAGGGAGCAAAAATGGTGGTATTGCCGCTGCTATTGATGATTCCCCCTATATGAAGCTCTTTCTTGCTCAGTACTGCTCCAAATATAAAATGATTGGGCCAATATTTAAGACTGCTGGCTTTGGTTTTGTAAGATTGATCTCTCTTTTCCTCTATGTTTAACATATGCTTTTTTGGTCCCTCTTTCTTGCGAGTTCGAATATGTTGTTCTATTTTACTGTTTTATTGGTTGTCAGCCTTAATAAATTACTTAAGTATTTTTAGTGTTTTGTTCCTATTTACTGGTCAATTAAGTTGGATATGACATGGTAAAATAGTGCGGGACAATGAATGGGACACGAAAATAGGACAACATTCTTTTTTCTTGTAAAGCTAGCATTGCTATATGTAGTGATTAACAACATTTTTGTTTCTCGATCGTAATTAATAAACACAACTACTAATAATAATTAATGTTACTACTTCAAAACTATATACGTACATGGCTAATTTAAAGGAATGCAGCGTCTACACAGTTAATAATTTCAAATAACATTTTTCAACTGTTTTTAAGACTATTAGTGATATTATTTAGCATTATTTTTTCTAATAATTTTGTTGGTCTTCTTGTCAGGTTTTCTCAAAAGGTTCTCATCTAGTAGGTGATATATCAAGGGCCATTCTCAACGTGACTGAGGGAGACGAGATGAAGAGAATCGAGAACAAATGGTTCAAGGATGACCAATCAAACTCGTGTCCGGACTCCAAAACTAGGGTTTCCGCAAACAGTCTCAGCGTAGGTAGCTTTTGGGGCCTATTCCTTATTGCTGGTATTGTTTCAGTGTTTGCTCTCATTATCTTCGCAGTTATGTTCTTTTATAAGCACAGACAAATCTTGTTGGACTCGAAAGATTCAATGTGGACTAGAATTCAAGCCGTTTTTAAGAGTTTTGACGAAAAGGATCTCAGCTCTCATACTTTTAGAAAGAGTAATTGTCCTAGTAGTACGGTCATGGATGTGCAGAATAGCAATTGCCCTTCAAGTCCATCGAATTATTTGGTCTACAGTGGATCAAACTCACCGTTTTATGGAGAGCAAGGAACACTTTCTAGTGATCAGGCTTCTCCGGAAGTAGCATTACCAGCCAACATTATTGAGCTAAATATTGTCCCGAATAATGAGATTATAAGGTCATCTCCTGATAGGTTAGCAACTAATAATGTATAGTTTCCAGTGTAAATGATAGCCATTTAACACATGATCTTGTGTTAGAAATCTAACAAATTTAACAATTCTTAACAATGCAATTCAATTGATAGCAAAAACCTGAAATAATAACATCCAACTTGTCAACCAACGAAAAGTTTTGGATGCTTTTGTGCAAAAATCTTATGGCACTTACACCTATTAAATGACTCTTGTTAGATATTAGACTACAATCATATGTGTTACATTTATAAATTTAAAGTCCCAGTTGTCAAAATTAAAAGTTCGAGATCCCAATCGCTAAACATTGTCCTCTTAACAGACCATGAAACAGAACTCTAACAAGTGCTGACAAATATTCAAAATTTTGTTATTATACATAGCAATATCTAACAGTGTCTGTAGTTGATCTTGAAAGTCAAGCTGACTTTTGATCAAATAAAGTCAACTCGTAAGTTATTGCGTACAAATTTAGGAAAATTATACAATACAAAATTTCACTTCTGATCAACCTAATTAATTGTTAATTAGGCTGTTCATATGTACTCCGTCTCTGCACTTACAAATTTAAGCAATATATCAGAATGTTTAATGTCTCTAGACAGGAAGGAAAGGGTAGATCTTTTCTATTTAGATAATGCATAAATGAAGAAAATGTGTAATGCAAATGAGTCTCTATCATGAGCTTGTTAAAATTTGATAGTCAAATAAAGGAAAAATGAAATTGATATTCCAACTCAAAGATTCCATAAATAGTGGCATTTCCTAATTAATTTAGTCGATGGTAATTAGTAAGCAACCATTTACTACGAAGTTTCAATCAAAATTTTATGCTTATGCAATGATATTGGAGTTGAATTATTCCACCAATTTTAGAAAGTTCAACGCATCAATTACTGAATGATGTCACTCGAATGTTGAGCTTTCAAGGGCTTTTTGGAGACCAGGCAAGGGTTTCCATTCTATACACCTTTATTTGCAATCGAAAGAGACATACATCCAAAATAAAATATTGTGAAAAATAATTATAATAAGTGGAAGAGAAGTAGGTTGAAAATGTATTATAATGAGCTCTATTCTATATGCAATGAAAATATTCGTAGGAAACCATCCAAAGAAAAGTGTGTTTTGTACTCATTTTTGAATGCGTTGATTTGCTTAGCGTCTTTAGTAGAAAAGAAACCATTGGTTTGACGTTTTCATTTTTTTTTTTTTTAAATAAATTGAGAGATGAGTAATCCTCCTCTCAAACTTCTACATCTACAGATTATATAGAAAGTAGAATGATGGCATATTCTCCAATTTTTTGTTCCAACCTATTTGTGTGCTTCACCTATTTGCTTGTTTTTTTTTTTTTGGGGACCTTTTTAGTTCTACTTAATTTAATGATTTAAATTTAGTCTCTTTTAACTTAAAGTATACCCAATGGTTTATTTTTAATCCACATGACCTTATTTATTCTCTCACATTCATATTAACATATTTATACATTTTCATAACAAGAAATGATTGGACAAAACAATTTTTTGTATTTACACATTACTTAATATACCAATAGATTTATGTGAAGTTCTTTGTTATGAAATGATTGGACAAAACAATTTTTTGTATTTGTTCTTTATTATAAAATGATTGGACAAAACATTATTTTGTAATTGCACATTACTTAATATACCAATAGTTCCATATGAAGTTCTTGCCCAAAAAAACCAAACAATGAAGTAAAAGATAATTTTTGTTCCCAAGCACAAACCCCATACTAGTATTAGAGAGGGAAAAAAAACAACAAAGAATTTCGAAAACCAACCAGAATGGCTAAACTAGTTTGAGTTTTCACATTCGAACAAGATAACTTTTTACAATTTAAGTTTTTTTTGGTAATTTATTATTTGGTTTTTTTACCTGAGCTTTTCGTGTTTAGCGGATTGGTCCTTGAACTAAAAATGTTTGTAATCGACTCTCTAAACTTTAAAATTCATTACATTGGTAGTCCTTTTAATAACTTATGTTAAGTTTTGGACGGATTTTTGTCACATGATTCACACGTGACTCTTCTTAGGAGTATTTAGTAGTCATTTCCTTCATAAAACAAACATTTTCTGGGAAAAAAAAAAAAAAGAAGCCCTGCACACTCAAAATTAAAGAATGAACCCAAATCAGTAAAAACCCGACAACTGAAAAAGACCCAGATCTGAGCAACATATCTGGTGCTCACGAAGCCACACTGATATGATATGATGCTCCTTAAGTGAAATCCCACACGCTCGCATTAAAAATGAGTATTATTCTAACGGTTGTTGATGATGTACTTGAATCATCATTTTAATGACATACCTCACAACGCATTTTCTAGAGAGAGTGAGAAAGTCCTTGGAGAGCAAAGGTTGCTCGGAGCTCCGGCACTTCCTTCAAGCGCGTCGTTGGGTATGAAATATTGTCCTTCGATTCATCTTATCATGGGCTTCTTGTTAGTGGTGGTGGTGTATGGTGTAGTGGCTTTGTTTGGGTAGATTTGAACCGGTTAGGAGTTTGGAAGCCGATTGGAAGGTTTCATTTCTCATGAGAGTTTTTCACTTGGTGGCTGAGATCTATTCACTGGCTATGTTCCGCGATGGTCCTTTGGCCGAACGCCCTTCACCGAAGGTTTCAACCAGCGGTGGTTGGAGGTTTTCTTCTTTTTGTAACTTTTGTGTTTGTAATAAGGTTGGTGGTTTCCCCACCCAATCCTCGTTTAGTTTGTTATTTTTTGTTAGATTTAGGTGTTCGGTTTAATGCTGATAGGGTAGTCTTGGTTCGATTAGAATTTTTTCTATGTCGTGTAGATATTCTCCTTATGTGGGTTTTGACAATCTGCCACTTCAGTGCTCTATAGCTTATGTTGAAAAGATGGGTTTTCTCTAGTCGAACTTTCAATCCACTCGTTGTTAGTGTGCCGAAGTGCTTTTTTAATTTCGGACCTCAAGCTTACGTCTATCCCTCTGATGAATTAGCATTAAATCGAGACGACTGATTTTCAGTATTTTAATGATATGTAATTTTCCTTTTAAAAAAAGAACCATCATTTTAACAAGGAAGAAAACCAATACGCTTGGCAATGGTATAGTTTCTTAGTTATGAAAATTGAATGGAATTCAGTACTAAATATAAAACACTTCATGAAAATAAAAAATCAAATATACGGTCAGAAGTCAAAATAAGTTTTGTATTTAGCATCACGCTCCTTCAGTACTCCAAGTGAAGAAAAAAGGAAAGATTTTTGCTAAGAAGGAAAAAAATGAAAGCTTTACTTGATTGCGGTATTATCGGGGCCGGGACCATCTGCATGGTGGGCATATATGTATATGTATATGTATAACATATAATACATATATATATGTCATATATAATATATATGGATATAGGGTGGAGCCCATTCTGACGTTAGTCTGTTTGTTAAAATGGGATCCGCCATTGAGACTTACATCAAGCTGGGAACCCACCTTGATTTGGTCAAGGTAAGCGAAAATGATTAAAAAAAATGTATGT